AGGGCAAAATTAGGAACTGCTGGGTGATTAGAAACTAAGGGGGGGGTGTAAGAGGACCCCTGAGTGACTCTCTTTTTTTTTTTTTTCCTTTTTAACTGGTGACAGGTGGGAGGAAAAATGGAAAGGAGCAAATGTAATACTTGGGGATGAGTAATGTATGGCTTCTAAGCTTTGTTCAATGGGGTCAAATTATCCGGTTCTTTCTTACCCCTAAGCCCTTCTCCTGGACCTTACAACTCAAAGGCAACCACTAAGCATTTAAGTTGATAGTTTTGGAGTTGTTTGAAAATCACCTCAGCCAGTGTGGTCCTCTGACTAGAAACCTCAGCATCACTTGAGAGCTTGCTAGAAATACAAGAAAAATACCTTAGTCCCCACCCCGGACCCACTGAATCAATATCTCTGGGACCCAGCAATCTGTAGCTTAACAGGTTTTTCCCAGATGACTCTGATTTATGCATGCTCAAGCCAGAGAAGCACTAGTCCAGACCATCAGTCCTCTGCTTTGATATTTCTCATGGTAGGAGAGACAATAGCTAGCACACTTGGGAAGTATCTCAATCTGTTGCCTGCCTGATGTGCATTAGTAGCTGTAGTGAACCTCTGTTACAGATGGGAGTAACAAAGGTGAACAAGAATCCTCAATTTGTTTTGATGTGGAAAAATTGAAAATGCTAGTTTCAAATCCCAAAATTAAATTTACAAATTCTAAGACTCTATTGTTTCACTATCTCTCTAGACCAGAATTTTTCAGTCTCAGCATTACTAACATTTTGGGCCAGATCATTATTGTCACAGGAGGGTGGTGAGCAGTTATATTCATTGCAGGATGTTTAGCAGAATTCCTGGCTTCTATTCATTAGATGGAAGTAGCACGTGCACGCGCGTGAACACACACACACATACACCAGTTGTGAAAACCAAAAGTGCCTCAAGACACTGTCAAATATCCCCCATGTAGGTGATTGAGGAAAGGAGGGAAAATTGTCCCTGGTTAACAACTGCTGCTCTAAACTTAATTTATATTCATAAAATTCTCTGTTTCTGATGCAAAAATTGATCTTTTAAATTTATTTTTAGATGGACACGTTTATTTCGACTTCTACGACTTATCATTCTGATAAGAGTTTTTCATCTGGCTCATCTAAAAAGACAACTTGGAAAGCTGATAAGAAGGCTGGTAAGTGGGTAAAACATGCTTATGATTCAGAAAAATATTTTGTGTTTTGGGACCCATTGGCAAGGGTTGATTTCTATACTGTATAATGTCCTTTATTTTTATGTTGATTTATGTTTCACAAACTAATAATGGTTTTAAACTCTCAGGTTTCAGGAAACAAAAGGCGATACAAAAGGGATGGATTTGACCTAGACCTCACTTATATTACTGGTTTGTGACACTTAACTGTTGATTTACTTAGATTAACTTCACTTTTTCTTGTAATTATATTTTTATTTTGTTTTTGCCTTGTCTAAGCCACATTCATTCAAAGTATTCTTTATTCATGAGGCTGTATGCTATGCCACTGTGATAGTGTGACGTATTTGTGGTTTAACTCTGGCAAGGAAGATTTCCATGTCATCTCAATCCAGGACTACTCGATTGCAGCACAGGAACTTGAATGGATTTTCAGCTGACTCCATTTGAGTTTCAGTTTATTAAGTTCCAGTAGTTATCCTGAATCCCAAGGATCCCAGAGAGACTGCTTCTCTTCCTAGAACCCCAGAGAATGAGGTCCCAGCTTTGTAGATCTCAGGTTTTCTGAGTCAGAGGGCTACAAAGCACTTTGGGAGTTCCCACCATTACTGGTGCCCACAATTCTTGGATTTTCTTTGGTATTTAAGAAATAAATTCCAAGAACAGGGAGAACTTCAGACTGAGGCCAACATAAGTCCATGGCATCTGGTTTGAACTGGTGGAGTCTTATGAACACTGTGCCAGCTTAATGGTCATTATGTTGGATAATTTAACATGTTATCTTGATTATCTTGAGTATTAGCTCTTTTCTGTCAACCTCAATCTTAAAATTTATTTTTCTGTGAAAATGGAGTCTGATCATATGAAATTAATTTTTGTATGTTATTTTAAATCTATAATGATGTTTGTAATAGTGATGATTTTGACTTCCAGAACGTATTATCGCTATGTCGTTTCCATCTTCTGGAGGCCAGTCCTTCTATCGGAATCCGATTAAGGTAAGGGTGTTTATCTTAAAAATACTCATTTCTCAATGATTGTAGACTGTGTAGTCAAAAGTTTAATATTGACCCAGAAATGTCAATATTCTTTCCAGAAGGTACTCTTTCAAGTAAAACAGTCATCATGGATTGATACCAGTTACAATTGTACCAGTGGTTACAAACCACCCCCAAACTTACTGGCTTATAACAGCAACTATTTATTTGGCTCATGATCCTATGGTTTGTGAATCTGAGATGGGCTTAACTGTTCAATTCTGTGCTCACAGGGAGGATTGCCTCTCTCAACTGAGCTCATTCACGCATCTGTGGGCAGTTACTGAGTCATCTGAGCACTGGCTAGTCTAAAATGACTTGGCTGCCCTCAGCTGACAGAGCCACTGCATGCTCCATGCACCCCTCAAGGCCCATCCCATCTGGCACCCACTGCTGCCAACAGCCCCACCCCCTTGACCAGCAGAGCTGCCATATGCTGCATGCACTTCTAAGACCCTGAGGACTGGCCTGCCTGGTGCCCACCCTGCTGGTGGCACCACCCTAGCACTAGCCAAGCCACTGCACCTAGCATGCATACCTCTAGGGCCTTAGAACTAATCCGACTGATGGCTCCCATCCCAAGAAAAGCCATACCACTGTCTCCACAAACACTCACCATCTAGGCCTCTGAGGCACTCAGAGACACCTCTAAATGCTGATTACAGCCAAAGAAGTCACATGAAGACTATATTACTACAGCCACCTAGAACCAAAGTCAAATCACCCTACTCAGTGAACACTAGGAGACAACTGTTGGAAACAATATTTCTCTATGAAAGCTCCGTAACATTGGAAAAGGCACCAGTTTCACCAGATGTGCAAAAATCAATTTAGGACCACAAGAAACATAAAAAGCAAGGAAACATTACACCTCCAAAGAAACACAATAATTCCCCATTAACAGACCCTAAATGTTAACAGTATATCAAATGGCTAAGAAGCAATTTGAAATAATTATCTTAAGGAAACTTTATGAGGTACAAGAGAATACAGATAGACAAATTTATGAAATTAGAAAAACAATTTACGGTCTTATGAGAAATTCAACAAAGATATAGATGTCATTAAAAACCAAACAGAGATCTTGGAGCTGAAGAATTTAAGGAATAAAATAAAAAATAATCAAGAGACCAGATGCAGTGGATCAACTCCGTGTTATCCCAGCAATTTGGGAGTCAAGGCCAGTGGATCACTTGAGGCCCAGGAAGTTCAACGACAAGAGTGATTACATGGCAAAATCCCATCTCCTAAAACATCTACAAAATTATAGTCCAGGCGGCGGTTCGGTGCTCGGCCTATAATCCAGTTACTTGGGAGGCTGGCGGGCACAAGAACGCTTGAACCCAGGAGGGGGAGGTTGCACGTGAGACTGAGATCATGACCACTGGCACTCTAACCTGGTAGAAAGAGGGGGCCCCGCGTGTTCCAAAAAAAAAGACGTAATATATATATATATAGTACTAGACTCAATCGGAGCTTTATACACAAACAGACTGGGACCGAGGATGATGGCTGAAATCTAGGAACGCTCAAAGCTTCTAACAAATAGATCAACCCCAAATGGTCTTATATGAGCTTGTATGACACAGTCAAACACTTTCAAAAGTAAGAAAGCGGAACTATTGTCAGCCCTGGCATGCTCCACACCTGTACCCATCCAGGACTTTGGGAGGGCTGCAGCGCAGGGAGCGAGCGAGAAGCCAGGAGTTCACAGACGACCTGGCCAACTTAAAGAAACCCCCGTGCTCTACACTAATAATAAAAACCCAAAAGAAAAAGCTTTAGCCTGGAGGTGTAGTTGGCATGCCAGCGGTAGTCACTACCGCTACTCTGGCGGAGCTGAATCATGAGAAATGCTTAAACCGAGGAGATAGAGGTTGCAGTGAGCTGAGATCACACCATTGCACTCCAACCTGAGTAACAGAGTGAGACTGTCCAAAAAAAAAAAAGGAAATACTAAAAACAGCAAGAAAAAAGCATCAAGTCACATGTAAAGGAAACTCCTTTAGGTTAATAGTGGATTTCCCAGTGGAAACTTTACAGGTCAGTAGATAATGGGATGATATAATCA